CGAGCGCGATCTGGACCGGAGGGACCGGCAGGTGGCGCAACTGCGGGACGAGGTCAGGAAGCTCACCGAGGAGAACCCAGCCGAGCGGGAGGTCAGCTTCGCTCCGCCGTCTGCGGGTCGACTTCATATCTCGTACACGAGGACCACCTTCCGCAAGTCCGTGTCGCGCGGTGCCGGGCTTTCCGGCGTCCAACGTTCCTGTTTTCCAACTTCCTGTCTGTGTCATCATTCCTGTCTTCACTTTCCTTCCTGTGGTTGGTTTGATCTGGCTCTTTTGGGGTTTTTTTTAAATTTAAACCTAAGGGGCAAAGCCCTTTCAGATTGGTCACGAGGTCGTGACCGGTCCTGGTCTCGCGCCCGCTCAGGTGATCGCCAAGCTGTCGGATCACGTGGCCGCCCGCGTGTCCGAGCCGGCGAGGTCCACCTCGTCCGCTCGTGCCCCGGACTCGCTCGGACAACTGCAGCAGTGCGTCGAGGACCTGAAGGTGAGGAAAATGTCGCCCAGAGAGCGGCGGCCTGTCGGGCCGGCCGCTAATGAAGGCGCGCCGGTTTGCGTCTCCTTCAGGATGACATCGAGGCCTACAAGACGCAGAACCGCTTTCTGAACTCCGAGATCTTCCAGCTCACCAAGCTGTGGAGGAAGAGCTCGGAGCAGGAGCGAAGTCTGATGGTCAAGGTGGGTCATCTTCTTTTGCGTCTCGGGACCAATCTTGGTGAAGGCCCCCCACCCCACCCCCACAGTGCGCCTACCTGGAGGCGTGGCGCTGTCAGGCCGAGAGTCGCTACCTTGGAGTCCTCGGCAAGCTGCAGGAGCACGCAAGTCTGGATCCGGAGCAGCGGCAGTCGATTCGAAAGATGGCGGAGGAGGCTCTGCAGGGGCAGGCGAAGAACAACGCGGCCGCCGCAAACGGCCTTCACGACGAGTACGGCTTCCGGATCATTCCCGACTACGAGGCGGAAGACGTGAAGCTTCTGGCGAAGATCCAAGCGCTCGAGATCCGCTCGCACAACCTGCTGCGACAGGTCTGAGCCCGCGCGAGCCGCCGGTCTCCGAAAAGCGTCGCCGAAACGTCACCCGTTCGTGGTTGCAGGACGGTCGAGAGCGCGACCTCTCGAGTCGCTGGGCTCAGTACCTTGCCGGCAGGTCAGACGACGACTTTTGCCCGTCGCCGGAACTCAAAGCTCTGCTGCGGGCCGGCGTCCCTCCGGAGTACCGGCGGCGCGTCTGGCGCTGCTTGGTCCGAATCAGGACCGGGGCCGCCAGAGAGCGCCAGCCGCAGCCGGGGAGTTAGCTGAAGCGACCGTCGCACTCGGGTCGCGTCTTGTGGCGAGTCCCCGGACAGAAGGCGAGGGGCTTACGCGGAGCCTTCCGTTCCGATGAGAAGGAGACCGAACGACCGCACGTCATGACGACGATCCGCGTTGACGCCTCCATCGGACCGAGCGGGCCCAATACGGATGGAATCGCATCGGGATTCGCAGGGGTGCCGCGTTCCATTAACGGTTGACCGAAGGTCTTCAGTTGAATGACAAACAAACGCGTCTCGTCACCCGACAGAGCCGTCACAGTTCTGTCGGGCGTCGTGGAGTTAGCCGACGCATTGAATCGCAGTTTCAGGCCCGGTGTCCGTCACGGTGACGTCTGACGCGGCGGCCAGCCACCGAACGGCCCCGTGCCAATTTCGACTGTTTGAGACCGTTTGCGATGAAGGTTAAGGACGACGCAAATAATTGGACTCGACCCGACGCGCCTGGCGGCGAGTCGCGGAGCTCAACAGATCTCCTAGCGGCGGCACGCGAGGCGCTGCTCCGGAAGGTCGGGGATCTCCTCCGCTGTGACCGACGCCCTGCTCGTGTGTCTCCAGTTGTGCGACAAGAGTCGCGCGTGTCCCCATCCGGCCTCCAGACAGATCCGGTTGGACCTTCACCGCACCCTAACCGGCAACCGCAATTTCTCCTCGCCATCGAGCCTCGCCCACCAGCAGCTGGAGCGCATCCTGTCGGCCTTCTCCTGGCAGAATCCCTCCGTCGGCTACTGCCAGGGTCTCAACAGGTACGCGCGCGCCGTCCATTCTTGAGCGCACCTTCCGCGTTTCGCGCCCCGGCGCCTCGACTCGCCAGTTGAACTCCAACACTTGATCCCTTTTCACGCAAAGACGAGGGATCCGGCTCCCGGCGACGGTTGTCCTTTTGGGTTGACGTGTCTGTGTTTATCGTCGACGTTGGCTCTCCCCGCCGGCATGCCGGGGCACCATTTCTTTTTTGATTCCAATTGAGTCATGACGTGTCCAAAGCTCTTTCATGACTCAAATTCTGTTTTGAAGCAAGAGAATAATCCAAATAATAATCAACCCAGATGGCTTGTAACTCCCCAAAGCGGCCAGGCTTTTCAGTGACTTGTCCAAAACCTTTTGACTCGATTTCCAAGATTGAAAACGAAACACATTTCAATCAGTCCGCAGAAAATGAGCGAGCCGCACCAACAACGCGGAGCCCTTTGTGTCGAAACCCTTTCCAAATGGGCGCGGACAGCGTCACGGAACGCTCCACTCGTCGGCGTTACGCCAACGCGGTCTTCCCGAAATCTCCTGACGTTGCACTTTGGTTTTGGGATGTTTGACGCAGCCTAAAATTTGCCCGCGAAACACTTGCGTGACTTCTCCAAAACCTGACTGAAAAATGTCCGTTTTAATCACGTCTTCAAAGATTTGGAACGTGCGTTTCCACCACGGCGGTCCCGCCGGAGGACAAAGCGCGGCGCTCGAATAAAAAGCGTGCGGTGTGACCCGTGTCCCAGGTTGGCGGCCATCGCTCTTGTGGTCCTCCAGAGTGAAGAGGAGGCCTTTTGGTGCGTGGTGGCCGTGGTGGACGCCATCATGCCTCAGGACTACTACGGCAAGAACCTGCTGGCCGCGCAGGTCCGCAAGCGTTTGGCTCCGGATAGCCGCCACCGGCCGCTTGATGGATCAATGGATTGATGGATCGCTGTCCCCCGATGACAGGCGGACCAGCACGTTCTGAAGGACTTCCTGGTGGAGAAGCTTCCTCGGCTGGCGGCGCACTTTGACCTTCACGGAATCGACGTGTCTCTGGTCACCTTCAACTGGTTCCTGGTGGTTTTTGTGGAGAGTCTTCCCAGCGACATCTTGCTGCCTCTCTGGGACGCCTTTTTGTACGAGGGCACCAAGGTACGCGTGCACGCGCAGTCAAACACACGCGCGCACGCACTGACAAGTCATCTTGGTGCCACAGGTGATGTTCAGGTACGCTTTGGCTCTCTTCAAATACAAAGAAGACGACATCCTGAAGATCCACGACGGCGTGGACGTCTACCAATACCTTCGCTTCTTCACCAAGACCGTCACGGACGTCAGGTAGCGCCCGAAGCGCTCGCTCCTGTGGGCTAACGTGATATGAAAGAGCAGCTCGAGACGAGAGGGCAAACTTTGTGGGGCTCTTCATCAGCTACCGTTTTCCGAATGCGAGCGAGTTCCTGAGGCGGAAATTCATTCATTCATTTTCAGAAGCGCTTTATCCTCACTGGGGTCGCGGGGGGGCGCTGGAGTCTGTCCCGGCTATCTTCGGGCCGTAGGCGGGGGACACCCCAAATCGCTTGCCAGCCCATCGCAGGGCACACGGAGACCAACAACCCTCCGCGCTCGCACTCACAACTCGGGACAATTTCAAGTGTCCAATCAGCCCGCCGTGCATGTTTTTGGAATGTGGGAGGAAAGCGCAGTACCCGGAGAAAAGCCACGCGGGCCCGGGGAGAACATGCAAACTCCACACGGGCAGGCCGGAGGCGGAATTGAACCCGGTACCTGCGCACCGCGAGATCGACGCGCTAACCGCCGGACCGCCGGGCCGTGAGGCGGAAATGTACATCGAAAAGAGAGCGTCCGCTCGCTTGCCGGTGGGGGCCATTTTGCGGGTCTTTTCACTCTTGCGAGAGCGCACCGTTGCCCGAATGGGACGTGCCGTCGCCGGTCGTCCAGCCGTGGGTGGCACGGGACCGAAAACCCCCCGCGCCCCAGCAGTCCGTGTTCAACTCCCATATGGGTCAAAGCCAAGTCCCTTCGCCGCGTGTCGTCGAACGAGCATCCGAGCGTCCGTCCGTCTCCGAGGGACGCGGCGCGCTTCCTCTTAAAGTCTTGCGGCACGAAGGGGATATGAATCACAAGCCCGCCTTTTCACTTGATGTTCTCGCGTCGTAGTGTCGCTCTGATGGCGCGCGTGTGTGCAGGAAGTTGATGGGAATGGCCTTCGTCGACATGAACCCCTTCCCCGGCCGCCTGCTCAAGAAGCGGCGGCTGCTTCACCTGGAACGGCTGCAGGGAGAGCTGCGGGAGCTGGAGGAGCAGCAGCAGGCCTTCGCGGCGCTCGCCCTCCGCCGCCCCGACGACCAAATGGACAACGTGGCCAGCGAGGACGACGAGGAACTGGCCTGAAGTCCGTCGTTGCCGTTCGCCCGCTTGGTCCCCATTCGACGTCGCGCCCGCGTGACTTGACGCCGGCGGCCCGTTCAAGTGTGAAAGCGTGCCTTCTGTCGCCTTTTCAAAGGAAAACCAAGCCGCCTCCCTTCAGGTACGCCAGATGGCGATCGCGCCGGCCGCCCGGTGCGGCGCAAACGTCAAGAAGTCGGATGCGGACATGAGTCGACTTGTTTTGCGACTCCGAGAGAAGAGGATGACTGACGTCCAATGAAAATCCGGGCTCCAAAAATCCACAAGGACAGCCGAGCCAGGTCGAGGCCACGTGTTCGCTCGCCGATAGCTCACGCTCAAACGTCAACCGAGAGTTGACGGCTGAGCGTTCAATTTAGAAGACGAGCGAGTCGTAGCTCACATCCGGACTGGTTTGGGAACCGAAGACGAATGCGTTGCAGTTCCGTGTGAAGAGTCGAATTTTCTTTTCCGTGACGTCGCGGTGGGACCCCCCCCCGATCCATTTCCGTACGCGGCAATTCTACACGCAGTCATTATGTTCCAATGATTAAAGTCAGAGCAAGACAAGCCATAAGTGATGCTTTTTATTGGACTATTTTTCTACAAAAAAAAAAAAAAACGTACATAAGAAAGGATAAAGATCCAAAAACCTCCAGGAACAGAAAAGTTGTTGAGCGAGCGAGCGAGTGAGCCAAAGCGTTCGCTCGAGTCACGTGGCGACCACGACGGCCACGAAGACAACAAATGACGGCGTCCCCGTTTCCCCGCCGACCTGTTGGAAGGCTTCGGTGGCCGCATCACGCGTCACTCTTGCAAATTCCAAGAAAGGCGTTTGGCAGGCCGGGCCCTCGGACGCCTTCCGAGACTCTTCCTCGGGCGGCCTCGGGGCAGGCTCGGCGTGGATTTGGACGCCGCGTGCGGTCCGGTCCGGTCGAACCGGAAGTGACGTCTTGCGGCCCAAAACGGAGCCGGCGCCGCCAGACGCCGAGTGTGCCGTGAGGTCGACATTTTGCCAATCGGCAACAGGCGGACTTTCTCCTCCGCTTGCTGCTCGGTTGTTCGACGATCCTGACGTCCGATCACGAGTGGACTCCGTAGAAGATTCTTGCCATCGCTGGTCGCGTGATCCGAAGATGAACTTGCTGTTTGCTGGGGGTGAGGGGGGGGGTCCGACCACCAGGAAGCGTCGTCATCGCAGTTGAGCGCCAAAAACACTTGGAGGTTGAACGCTTGAACTTTTTTTTTTGTGCTCATCAGGTTTGCATGGAGAGCAGAGTTGGGATCCACCAATCGGAAATCAGCCAGGTCAAGGTTAGAAAGCGTCTTGCGTCCCCCTCCCCCACCAAAGCATCTTTGAAGTGAAGATGAGTCCATCTCACCCCCCCACCCCAAAATAAATAAAGAAAAGATCAAACCAAGAACAAAGGAGCAGTGCTTCCATATAAAGTGCTTGTTATGTCATCTTATTGTTATTAAAATATCATTTTCCTGGAGTGAAAAGATAGTAAACAAGTTACACGTTGCTAAAAAATATTTGTTTTCTTTCCAGTCCCACCGGCCGCCTTTTCCATTCATCAAGCCAAACTGGTCCCGGGAGCCTGAAAGGGCAAAACGACAGTCTCGAGGTTAAAGGTGAGCGTCGTGGCCGATTGCGGACGAGCTAAGCTAGCGGCTATGCGGCTCACCGGCAGGCGTCGTGATGGTGATGAGGAGGATGATGATGATGGTGATGGAAAACCACAAAAGAAACTGATGATGATGACTAGGGATGGGAGAGCAGCCACACCGGGTGGATTTTCTGATACCAGCCACTGATACTTAAGGCAAAAGCGAGTCTGTTTTGGTTTTGTCACCCCCCCCACTACAGTAGCTGGCGCTACATGGCAGCGGTTTGACACAATAGGAATCATCCCGTGCGTGAGAAACAAAGTCTTTGTGTTCATCCGAAATGTTTGTATCAATTGTAGCGGTGGTGTCGGGATGGAGGCGCACTCAAGAGGGAATACTCGGACTGGTCTCATTCGGACAAAAAAACTGGTATCGGATATCCCCGCCGACGATGAGGCCGACAATAAGGTAGCTAGCACGTAGCCGTTAGCGCGTGCGCTTTCCACACGGGCGCAGTGGGCGGAGTGTGATTAGTGGGCGGAGCCACGCGACGCGGGAGGGGCGGAGCTCGCGGCCGCGCCCAGCAGGCGTCCGAAGAGGAAGAGGGCGGAAGCGGGCAGATGGACGCACAGGAAGAGGAAGACGTCGTGGCTGAGGCACAACAGGAAGTCGGCGTGCGGCGTCAGCGTGCAGTCCAGGAAGACGGCCACCAGAAGGTAGTAGACCTGGAACTCCTCCAGCTCCTCCCACTCCGCGCACACGCCCGCGCCGGCGCCGGCCCC